AAGCCCTGGTGCCTGTCTCATCACTATGTCCAGTATCTGTGAGTAAATATTACACTTGTGACACAAAGCCTCCGCTTCTTGGTTGATCTCTCCAAGGTGATGGAGTAACAGCGTGACCTCAGTAAAACACTGTCCGGTTTCAAGTCTAGTGCTTCTTCGCCAACCATGAAATAGCCTTATTTATTAGTTGGTATCATTTGGTTCTAGTTTTCTGCACTGGCAGAAAACTGCTCTTGTGTGACAGGGAACATTGCAAAAAGCAATAGAAGTAGTTCCCAAAAAGTCTTTACTGAGAGGACCAGATTAGTCTCAGAGCCCCTAGAAATACCCCGAGAGACAGATGTAAGCAAAGCTGAGGAAGTAAGTTAGCCCACCTGAGAAGAGGGAAGCAGGCCTAGAATGAGAACAATCAAACGTGGCAGGCCCTGCAGCACTTTGTCACTACATGAGAAAGAGGAGTGGTTTTGGCAATTTTTTCCTAACAGCTTGGAGTTATTTTGAACTTTTGCTTCAGCTGGTCTGTGGGAAGGGTGGATGAAGGGAAGTATCTCTGTGCCTGCTTGTCCTTCACATTGTCTCCAGAGTCTCCTCTCTTTGAGGTGAGGCTTTTAGGCGCCAACATAAAAATAAAGCCGTTGGAGCTGGCAGCACCTCTCAGACTGAGCAACAAAGAGAACACGCCAGCAGTCTGCAGAGGAAGGAAGAGTGAGGAGATGAGCTCAGGACTGGGCTGTTTTCTGGCTCTTCTCTTCCCATCTAAGCCTCAACCACTATCCTGGGCCAAACCACTCGGCCCCGGCACTTGGGCTGCAGCCCCAGCCTCCCACCTGGTCGCCCAGGCTGCATCTTGCAGCCTATATATTGCAGTTACTTATCTTTACAAAGTACGGACCAGATGAGAACACCACTTTAACCCTCCTTGATTAAAACTTTTCTGTGGAGTTTCGTGAATTACAGGAAAAAGACCTATGAATTGTCAGCAGGAATCAGGATGACTGACCAAATGCTTCTCACTTCATCTACTCATTCTATGTGCTCTGCAGTGCTGTCATTTGTGAACCTCAACTATCTCCTGGCACAGAGCCTTCACGTAAGTCATTTTCATTTTCTCAAAGGCTCACTGCCCTTGCTATTGTTGTTGACTCCTCTTCATGTTCCCCTTCTCAAAGAGTAATCTGTCGCTGCTTTAGGAAACCCTCTTATTGGACAGCTCCACTGGGCCAGGAGAGGCCCTGTAACGTGCTTCACAGATACGCCTTCCCAGAAGAGCACTCAGCATCGCCAGTCAGAGTGTAAGCAAAAAAGGAAAAAACAAACAAACAGCCCCAAGTGCCTTCAGATTTCAAAGGAGAAAATATAATGAGAGAATATCATTGGCTGCACAGATGATGGAGGAGCTGAGAAAACAATGGTAGAAAGTGAGACAAGTCAGACATTGTCACCAAGGAGCTACAAGGAACCCACAGCATAGAGAAGATGCAACCACTGCCTGAGGCAGAGAAGCAAGTAAATTAGTAAATGCCCTGTTTCTCCCTTCTCTTGGCCTTTGCACTCATGCTACTGCCTTCCACTGGCAAAACTCAGCCAGGAGCCTGCTGGGGCAGGCACCCTCTAACATACTACAGACCAGATTCACAACCTCTTCTTTATCATCTATCATCCTACCTTCTTCTCAGTGAAGAGGGAAATGGGAATTTATCACATTTTTGTATAGGGGAAATTAATAATTATTGCCAATTTTCCCCATTTGCGATGTTGCACAAGTATTCCAGAAAGAGTGAAGGGCAAGGATTGTATTTGAGGAGGTACAGTGCTAGGATCAAGAGTAGTTATAACACGCGATTATTTTAGTATTTGTTTTCTTTAAGATCAGTGTCTTCACTTCATGGAATACCTCTTTGTGTTCACCATGCTGTTCCCATTTTCACAACGTGATTATTAAATGAACAAGTTTAAATGCTTCTGACCATTCAGTCATTAGGCAGTATGTACTGAGCAACTTCTACATGCTGGACCCAGTAAACAAAGCAGACCACGTCCCTGCCTCACGGGCTTCATAGGATAGAGGGTGATGAAAGACACAGACAAAGAAATACATGAAATAAATTGGTAGGTCAGATGGTAAAAAGTGACAAAGAAAAATAAGAAAGAAAAGGGGGCAAAAGGCATACTAGGCCCAGAGTGTGTGTTAAGAGTCCCTGGATGGAAAGGGAATTCCAGGGTAAAGTAGGTCTCTTGGAAGGCTTGGCAGTGGCTGGAACAGAGCAAATGATAGGAACATCAGATCAAAGTTCAGAGAAGTGGTTTAGGGGAGGAGGTGGAGGGAGATGGCTGTGGGCCTTGAAGCCACTGCTTCAAGAGAATACAAGGCTTTGGATGCATTAATAATGGAAATTATTGAATAAATGCTGGGTTTGTGCATGTCCCCACAGTGCTCCCAAAGGTTTTAGGAAAGTTCAACCCATCTCAGGTCACCTCATCCACTAATTCTTGATTTTGTTGATGCTTCCCCAGAGTATATGTTGAGTCCCAAGGACATTTAAGAATATCTGCTGAGACAGCTAATGAGAAATAGTGTCCCTTGACAATCCAGAGACAGAAGAATGATAAAAGAGATGAAAAGGGAGAGGAAACTAACAACTTGTGTTATGTGCAAGGCAGTTTTCTATCCACTGATTTTTAAATGTTGCTACATAACTGCAAACGGTATATTATGAGATTATGATATTGAGGTTCAGAAAATTTATGTGACCTGTCTGATGAGACTTAGAATTGCTGGTTAGTGATCGCAACCTACCACACATTGTGCTTGACATTCTCCTAGATCTTACTGCATCTTGACAACATCTCTTCGGATAGGATGGATGAAACAAACAGGGAGAAACAGCAAAGACAGAATTTTAGAAAAAGTAAAAAATGAAGATTAGAAAAAGAAAAAGAAAAAACTTGGATAATTATATTAACAGTATTTCAAGAAAATGCTTTCATTCACCTCAAATTTAAACTACTTCCATCATCCAGAATATTTGGAATACCCGTAAGTACCAAGAAATAGTGATTGCTAATGTTTCTGTAATCATTATTAAGCACAGCACACATTTACATGGTAAATTGTGAACCTGAAGATTCTTCGAAGTTAAGAATCACTTTGCTCATTATATATATGAAAAAATGTAGGTCAAGTGAGGTTAAGCAGCTTGTTTATATTCACGCAGCTAGTAAAGAAATAGCAAAGTTCTGATCTAGTCTGCTTGACTCCAGAGGTATTCTTGAACCCTGACCAAATCAGACGCAGGAGATCAAAGGAAGTGGGTAAGACTGGATAAGGCAGTGTTCTTGAAGAGCAGGGCCTGGCCAGTGGATTTTTGTGAATGTGTTTGTTCTGGGAGACCCACAACCTCTTTCTTATCATCTATCATCCTCCCCTCACAGTGAAAAGGAAATGTGGATTTATCATATTTTGGTATAGGGAAATTTAACAATTATTGCCAGTCTTCCCCATTTGCGATATTGCTCACATTTTCCAGAAGAAATGAAAATGTATTTATTATTCTTCACAAGGTTTTTTTTGTTTTGTTTTGTTTTCAGGCATTAATACTCCTGAGGTACAGCATCATTAGTGTGAGCTTTAATTCTCTCACGTATTAAAAAAATAGTAACGCTTGCAGAATTATTGTAAGTATCATCAACAATAAAATATTTGGGAGAGTTTATTTGATACGAGGAGTTGGTCTAAGCACTTTACGCAATTTAATTGATTTGATTTAAAAAAACAAACAGCTCTTTGCAACCGAGACAAAGTACTGTTAAATACATTCTTTAGAGAGAAATAGATAGAAAGCCCGGCTTGGTATTCAAAACCAGGAATTTGGCTCTGATGTTCTTGCTCCTTGCTTCCTGGCAGTTCTGCAGCTTTGTGAGATAGAGACAGCACCAGCAAAGGATCTCAACATAGAGCTGTTTTATGAGAGGTAAGCGCTGCAGGAACCATGCTTCCCTCAGTGGGGAAACTTCCCCAATTTTGCCTAACAATTTCGTGAAAATCTTCCCTTCTCAGTCATGCTCATCATTTGATCTTGGGCTTTTTAATCACTTGCCCTTCCTGAATATCATTATTTTAAATTAAATTGTTTTTACCTGCAAAATAGAGCTAATAATACTGACAGTGGCAATATAAAAATTATTGAGAATGAAATATTTTTGAGCCACAATTCTTTGGGGAAACATGCTAGTAGTAGTATGAGAAAGATCAGTTGCTTCTCGTCCTAAACACTGCAATTCCTAATTATTCTTCCTGACCCTAGACCCCTTCTCACTTTGTTCCTTCGCGAACAAGATTTTCAAATGAGTGATCTTACAAGTTAAAACCCGGATACTTGTAAAATGAATAGTGATTCAGATAAAGCCCAGATTAAGCCCATACCAACTTCTTCTCCAAAGGCCTCCCATGCCTTCTGTGTTCTACAGTCACTCTAACATCTCAGCCTGTTACGGAAGCCCCTTAATGATCTGATTCCAATTGACTTTTAAACTTCCTGTTTATCCCTTTGGTTCACCAACTAACATACTCCTGATATGGTATTTAGATGTTCCCTCTTCCTTGCGTGTGATAACACTTTTTCCTCCAACTAGATTGGCTTTTTCTTTTGTCCCCACTTGTCCAAATCCAGTGTAGAAAAGCCACTGAATGTAAGGAGTCTACCGTTTGTGTAGATTCAAATTCCTGCTCTGCTGCTCACGATGTCAACTTGTATGTGTCAGAATTTCTTTGGCCCTCAGTCGTAGCTTTTAAAATGAAAAGTGACTTACTGAGTTGTTTTTGTTGCTTTGTTTTGTTTTCAGAAAGTGTCTAGTCTGCTGCCCAGGATGGAGTGTAGTGGCATGATCAACACTTATTGCAGTTTCAACCTCTGGGCTCAAGCAATCCTCCAGCATCAGCTTCCCAAGTAGCTAGGACTGCAGGTGTGCACCACCACACCAGCGTAATTCTTTTTTTTTTTTTTTTTGGAAAGATGCATTTTTGTCATATTTCCCAGGCTGATCTCCAACTCCTGGGCTCAAGTGACCCACCTGCTGGGATTACAGGTGAGAGCCACTGCGCCTAACTCACCGAGTTTTTATGAATATTAAATAATACTGTTTCTAGAATAGACTTAGAATACTCTTTCACACATAGCAGACACTAAATATTTACCCATGACAAAAATAACAATGATACTACCTATGCCAGATCTGATTCAGCAGATTCTTTCTCAATGAACCAGGCCACGATAACCATTCTAGCCTGATTGCACCCTCTCATGGAATCCCTAACATTTTCTCTATGACTCTATATTGGCACTGAGGAACCTTTACTTTTTTTGCAGATATATTCATAGTCAGTTCATCAGTCAGTCAATCAGAAAACAACAGTCACTTAGGGAGCACCTATAATTGATTGGTACTTTGAACAATGAGGATACAGCAGAGAATAAGAGGCATAGAATTTCTCTGTATAACTGAAAATATTTATTATGAGGCCTCAATACAAAAATAAATATAACTGGCTTCTAAGTATTGAGGAGTTTATTTATATGAAAATCTGTGAAAAGAACATGCAATATATAGAGACAGTAAGTACTAATGTCCTGAGTCCAGAACAAGTTTGGATGGTGTGATATAAATCATGTCTAGTTTGGCAGAATAGCATGGGCATTAGTAAGAGTTGGTCTAAGAAAGATTGACAGGGGCAGGATCATGCATGACCTTTCTGGTCATGGAAAAGATTTTGGATTTTACTTCAATGAGAAGCCATTAAAAGATTTTATGTGGAGGACAAACACGGTTAGGTATGCAATGCAGTAAAATCACTCTGGCTTCTAAGTGTGGAATGGCTTAGAGAATCTGGGAGAGCATGAGTAGGCTATTGCAGTGCTTTAGGTGAAGAATGACTATGGCTTGCACTGAGGTGTTACTGCTAGATTTGACGCATTCATGGTTTTCCATTTTTCCTACCAGATTATAATGCAATATTTGATGCTTTTGAGTCTGCCCACAAGACAACATACATTCAACTTTGCACACAGTAGGTAGGAATATTTTCTTATAAATGAAGCAATGCATACTGTGGAAGCTAAAACTGGAAACACAGGTGAAAACGAGCAAGACATCTGCTCTTTCTTAAGATCAAAATATTCAAGAGACAGAAGGGAAAACAAACTACTCAGTAACTCTAAAGGGCTGCTATTTTTATCATTGCAAAAAATATATGCACATCAAACATAAAATATGCTTGTCAGCAAATCTATCACATTTTCAACTTTTTCACAGAGCAGCTGATGTATAAAGCAGTTGGTCTTGTGCCGTGAAGATGCTTAAATGACTGACTTTTGGCAAAGGCCATGAAAATAATCACACGAACCCTGCTGTCTTCCAAAGATCAAGTCTGCTTTATGCCAGCTTGGAGAGAAAATTAAACATATAGCTAGAAATTTGATATTTTCTAGGAAGTCTAAATTTAGGTGGAAAATATCCTGGGGTGAAGATACAAAAATCCATATTTCAACTCATTATATTTCCCCCCAAAAGACTTTTCTTTTTGTGTTTCTTGTTGCATGGTGGTTAAAAGCACAGTTTTGGGGTCAAAGGCCTAAATGCCTCTTCACTATCTATGTGACCTTGGCCAAGTTAATTGGCTTCTCTAAGTCTCACGTCCATAATGTGAAAAAGTGACAAAATATTAATTGTAAGAATAATAGCTTACACTAGTTTAGTGTATACTCTGTTCCAGACGTCATTCTAATACTTTAGATGTGTTAACTCCATTACAGTAACAATGGTATTATGAGGGCTGTACTACAATAGACTGTATTGGTTTCCCAAATGAGAAAGTCTAGGTACTGAGGCAAGAGGGGGTTATGTCACTTGCTCAAGGCATTATACCCAGTAAGTGGCAGAGCCAAGACTTATATCCGTGCATAATAATTTGAAATTCTGAGATTTTCTCTGCTGTGCTATATCCCTAATTTCTGCCTTTAACCACTGTGTTTCACTGCTAAGGAAAGATGCATACCACAAAATTCTTGTAAGCATTCAATGACATGTAAAATAATGAGAACTATGCCTAACACAGAGTAAGTATTTAATAGTTATTTGTTTTTAAAACATAAAGAGCAAGAGTGAATGACATATATGTGACCACATATGGTAAAAACTTAGTATTTTTAACCAATATTTATTGAGTACCTACTAGTCATTGCATTGTATTGAATACCCAAAACCCATTGTTTTGGGTGCTCTGATATGTCATTGGACAAAACATATAAAGATGTTCTAACTAGACAGGAAGAGTCACATAACCAACAATAATTATAACAAATAAGTAAACTATGTTGTAAATTAGAATACAATCAGGGCCATGGGAAAAACAGATAAAAAGACACAATAGATGAAGGGAATATTGAATGGCACTTTGGCTGGTGATAGTTGCTTGACATTGTTAATAAGGTAGCTGAAGTTGGGTTCATTGAGTGGGTGTGATTTGAGGAAAACTCGAAGGAGTTAAACAATGAGGTATTTAAATATCTGCAGAAAGAGTAGCCTGGGCAGACAGATCAACCAGGACCAAGTGGAGTTAGCAAAGGAGCCACAGCTGGTGAAGTTGGCTAACAAACAGGGGATCAGTCATGTAGTTTAAATACTTCGGCTATTATTTTTAGTAGAGTGGGAAGCCATTGCAGGAATGAGCAAAAATCTGCAAAATCTGACCTAGTGGTTAAGCACCCTGGCCACTGTGCTGAGCATGGACAACAGGGAACTGGAGTACAAGCAGGGAAGTCTATTCGAGCAATACTCACCCCAATCCACTGAGATGATGGCAGCTCAGACCAGAGGGTCAGCAGGGGAAGTGGTGAGCAATGGCAGAATTCTGGATGCATTTTGAATACATTCTGAGTGCCAGAAGGAATCCCCCCAAAACTGAATATAGAATGTAAGAGAAAGAGACATCAGTGGTAACAATAAAGTTTTTGTTCTGAGCATCTGGAAGGAAGGAGTTGTTATCACCTGAGATGGGAAAGATCATGGGTAGAGCAGGTTGGGGAGAATTTTTATCTTTTATCTTCAACGCTGTATCATACCTGTCATAATACATGACAAAACTAACAGTAAAACCAAAATAATAAACGCAGCTAACATCCATTAAATGCATATTAGGCTCACTTTGTTTTTAATATTAGTTGTCAGTCAACTAGACTGGATTTAAGGATGCCCAGATGGCTGGTGAAGCATTGTTTCTGGGTGTGTCTGTGAGGGAATTTTCAAAGTAAATTGACAAGTGAGTCAGTGGGTTGAGAGACGATGACTACCCTCAGTGTGACTATGCATCATCCAATCTACCATGGGTGCAGCTATTAATAGAACAATGCAGGCAAAAGAAAGAGGGCGGTAAGGTTACTTGGCTTCCTTTTTGTGTATCTCTCTCTCTCTCTCTGTCTCTGTCTTCCAGAGCAGTAAGTCTTTTTATCCCTCCTGACTGTGGACAACAAACTCCAGGTTCTTTGACCTTTGGACTCTGGGATCCACCAGAAACCTTCCAGGGGCTCTCAGGCCCTCAGCTTCAGACTGGAAGCTGTCCTGTTACCTTTCCTGGTTTTGAGGCTTTTGAAGTTGGACTGAGCCATGCTACTAGCTTCCTGGGGAGCCACGCTACAGGCTTCTTTCATCCTCCACCTTGTAATCACTTCTCATGGGACTTTGTAATCATGTGAGCCAGTTCTTCCTAATAAACTCCCTTTCACACACACACATGCACACACGCACACACACATACAAATGTTTATATAAAGTGGGCAGAATATATATACATGCACACTGTGTATGTGTGTGTGTCCTTTGGAGAACCCTGACTAACTGAAACCTCATTCAATGCCATAATAAATCACATAGTTTTATTATCTTCATATTTAGAGATAAGGAAACTAAGGCCAGTAAGATAAAGAAACTTACACACATATTTTACAGCAAAGCCAAAATATAACGCAAAAACATTTCTAGTCCAAAGTCTGAAATCTTGACAACTATGATCAATAAATATGCATATATAATCCTCTTACATATTTCTAAATTCCTTCTGCTATTTCTTAGGTTCAAGTGCCTTCACAATTCTTTAACACATCTAATGTCATAGCTTCTTATCTGATATCTCTTCCTCTAATTTTACCAATCTGCACGTTACCAGAGAAGATATCTTTACACGAATTTCCAAACTAATCATATCAGTTCTTTGCTTAAATCCTTCAACACTTCCACATCATCTACAGACAGGAATAAAACCACCTTACCAATTTACACAGATCCTGTGGCTGACACAGTTTGTACTCATGTAACAACCAGTCTTTCCTGACTTTGCTAACTACACCCATATTTTGGCAATGTGCCCAGGCCCAGGAAACTAAGCTCATCATGGCATCCACATTAATATTTACCTGTGACTAGTCTAGGGGTGAGCATATATAATCCTGCTCTTACTATTGAAGTAAGAGTAGAATTTCCAGATAAAATACATAGTACTCAGTAAAATCCTAATTTCAAATAAGTAACTTTTTGTTAGTATAAGTATGTTCTGATTATTATACTAAACAGTATTATTGCTTACGTGAAATTCAAATTTAACTGAGCATCTTGTATTTTTATTTGCAAAATAGGTATCCCTAAACAAAATGAAAAATCTACTGGGAGCTTCTGGAAATATTTTTTTCTCCTTTACAAAAAAAGAGGAGCTTAATGCAAGTCAGGAGCCTTTTTCTCCCATTCTCTCCCTCCATATCTGGGACATTGTTCTGAGGGACTAAGAATATTTGTTGCTATGGCAGCCATTGCAACAATGAGAGAAAAACCAAGAGAATGCCCAAGATTCAAACCCAGTACCCTAATACTTTTGAGCTACTGAATCTGATCCAGAACAGTTTACTTTCAGACACTGATTAGAATCTTGTATTCCTTAAGTGCCTTAGGTTAGGTTACCTATTATTTGCCACTGATGGCATCTTAAATGTTATAGACAGTTTATGATCTGGTCTCTATTTACATCTTAGTCCTACTTTTGC